GTGCGCGTTCTTCTGGGCAGTTGATATGGGGCTTGAAAAATCCAAAGTTGCTTCAGCTTTCATGTACAAGCCTGGAGATGAAAATAGATAGAACGGAATCGAACGGAGTGGAATAAAGGTCCTTCATGTCTTTCTTCATTCCTTCTACATAGTTCCGCAAAGAGGTGGATGCAAGTGCTCTCGCTAAAGGTTCAAAGTGCGAAGAAGACTTGAGAGTTTCGCATTGGAACTTTGAGGTGCTTGCCTCGTAAGATCCTACTTAATCTCTGCGGCTAGTGCCCGGCTAAAATCAAATGACGACTGACAAGGACTCACAAAGATCTACACTGGATATACTGCGGCGCGAGAAAGGTAAGTACGGTGAGGCAATGTGAGTCCCATTGCGGATTCTGGGTTTATGCAAGACCAGGTGGTGGCAACAAACTCGAACACGCTCTCCCGCACCTTACCTCCTTCGCAAAACAGAAAGAAACGTTTACTGAAAATGTAGGAAGGTACGTAGGCTGCACGGGCAGCTTTTCCACCTTTGCGTTCAGCAGTCCTCTACTTCCATGGCGATTGCTTCAGACATAGACAAGGACAGGAACCTAGATTTCAGTGCGATATCTAGAATGTCATGGAAAAACAATTTGCTCCAGCAAGTCCTTTGTACTGAACACTCCCCACAGGTCTACCTTTTGATTTCGTGCTGAGACATGCTTAATTACTTTTGAGGCCATTCCAGGAAAGATCATAGTTATGGCTCATGACTGAGGAACGAGAGCAGATATAATATTCAGATATATTCAGCACATACAAAGCAATGTGGTGCTGGATGGCGTTGAATGAATGCAATAATTCAATATTGGAGAGAAAAATGGTACCACTGTGGCAAAACGATGCAAAACGGAGATAGGCTCCTCCATCTTTGCGCTATGGCCAGCAGCAGTTCAAAAGCTCCCTTCCTCAGTGAGGGCAGGCTGCCGTTGAGATTTCCACCAAAAAAGCCACAACTTGTCCAGTACTCTGGATGTAAAAATTGTAAAATGGTCAGGGCATCTTCTGTAATTCGATACTGTACCAGTCGCAAATAAGATCAAATAAGTGCAGTGTCTTGATGTTTTAGTTTTTGTGTTGCGGGATGAGCATGGCAATACAAATACAGGTTGTCGAAAGGGAAGGTGAGACTCAGCGTCGTGGGAGGCCCAAAAAGAAAACTGATACCGGCACTATGTTCTACGTTTGTGTATCATTGTGTATTGACATATAAAATATATCTGCATATGTATATATATATATGTGTGTGTATGTGTATATACATATATATATATATAGATATATATATTGTGTAATGTACATAACAAATGACATTAAATAAATTTAATAACCATAAATAGTATATATATAATTATATATGAAAACGTTATAATTTTATAATACAACAGATTGAATGTTACAAATTATATCTAAATACTTGCACGTCGTGCCCTTGGCCAAGGTTCTCGCATATAGAACAGTCGGACAAATGCATCTCCTTTGGAGGTGGCCGACAATCCTGGGCCAAGCTTCAAAATCTTCTGTAGATTCAAGATGTTTCAAGATGATTCAAGATCTTCTTCGGAGAAAACAAACCTTACACTTTGGACTTTGGATCACATTGGCATACTCTTGTTTATCATCACCATGCCCCTTGTGGAACAACTCCGATTCTGGCTCTGGGAAGCAAAGCTCACCAAATCCCAGCATGTATGCCATTGTATGCCGGGGCACAAAGGCATAAAGTTCTGCAAGCTTGCTCGCTCCCTTGCTTGTTATCCCGGAATTCTTGTACAGCTTCAAGATGTCGACTCGGATTCCTCAGCTTGCCAAAATGTCTTGAATAATATTGAAACAAATTGAAGCTTACTATTTGATCTGTTGAAGCATGTTGAAGCTTTGCAAAGCGTAATGAAGTGCCCATTTCGGCCCATGTAGTACTACATAGTACTACCATCTACTATCATGTGCTTCCATAAGAACTTCCCTTGGGGCTCTGATACAGTGCATATTCGTGGACTAATTTACCTTTACACTACAAAGTTCTCTGATTGCCTGCAGTTTGTGAGCTACGCTTCTAAAGAGGCTGAGTTTTCGGTGGCATCCTAATCTCGTATCAATCAGTGCCTTCCAAATTCTGTGAGGTCATGCCTTTCGAAACCTTCCATTGTGAAACATTATAAACTGCAGCCAGGCGCGATTTCGCACAAGGTATCCAACCAGAGCCTGCCACAGTGGTTGGCCGCTAGTGCTTTCCAACATTCAAGAGGGAAGGATAGGAAAAGCATGTTTTAATATGTTTTAAAGCATTACAATAACCAATAGGGACGGAAAGGGGGGACTTCAGATTCCAGACCATGAGTGCTTGTGTTTAATCAGGAAGTCAGTAGATTGACTAGTCATTGAAGATCCAGACCGAATGTCTGACTCGTTGCCTTGTTCAAGGTCCATAACGTCCCTTTGAATTTTGATGGACTTGAAAACGTTGTCCAGGGTCGAAAGGGCTGCATAAGGCAAAGAAACAAATACTGTATCGCTGTTCAGAAAAACCCGAACTTGGAACTTTAAGCTCCATATAGTCCCCTTGCGATTTTCCTTCCGGAACAGCAAAGACAAACTGAATGCGGATGACACGCTGGGGAGTCCATGCTGGGTGCCGTGTCAAAGCAACGCAAGGTGCAAAAAACCCTGAAACGTTCTGAATCCATGGTTCGGATTGGTTCGGGTTCCAATGTGGGAAACACACAGTTTGAGAATGTTTGAGAACTATCAAGTCGGAATAAGTCGGAGTATCTCTGGATTAAAAACGTGGCCTCCACTCCAGCGTCACCAAGGCTGTTCTCTTGCAAATTCACGCCTTGCCCACCCGTGCAATCAAAGTGCGGCGACTAACAAAAGACTTGTGATATCCCATTTCCGCATATTTCCACCATCAGTCAGTTTGCATACTCTTCTGAAATGGTCTGATCTGACGACGGCATTGCTTTTTATTTTTGCAAACTGGCTCTGCGGTCTTTGCACTGTCTGGAGCAGGAACTGTTGCACTCTTGAAGGGATGAATTCAAGCCATCTCATAACACACTGCGAGTACATTGAAATTGAATGAAATTGAATTCTAAAGTTTAATTACAAGTCACGCAGCACTGCACCAAGAAGATTTGCAAAGTCAACCGATCTCTCTTTTCAAAATACCCCCTTTCAATGCATTGCCATCTGCTCACCTTTCCCTCCCGTTAGCGTAGTTTACTACACAAGCATGCACTTTGAAGGCATGCGTCACGTAGAGAGAAAGTTTGGCAAGCCAATCAATCCAGTACTTTTTAGCCAAGTTTCAATTTAGATGCAATGATTCGCCATTGCAAATGCGTGGTACTTGCATGACATTGCACGTCCTGGGAGCTGCAAAAGCGGCAGAAGGGATTTGCTGCAGCTGTACACAACCTGTATATAAAAGGCAGGGATTGATATGCCACGAATCCTATTTTTTGAGAGATTCCAAAAGCCTCTTGTTTCTGCAAGTTGCAAAAGCTTCCACTGCCTCAAAATGATTCGTCAGGGTGCCTTCCTGTGTGGTCTTACATCTTCAAACGCAACCTAGAAGTTGTTTTTCTTCTCCAACACTGAGCTGATATACCTGGTATTGCCAAGGGATGCAAGGTCCAGCCGAATTCTGGAATATTGTTCATGATTTGCGTCGTTATGTTGGCCTATGTCTTTTTTGGTGTACAGTCTACAGTAATTGCGAACAATCCAAGCATCTCTTTCTTGAAAATATCCACGACGCCAGCATCTCCAATACCTCAAGAATCGGGCCATATCGCTCTGATGTTCTTTCTTTGGGTGGTTTGGGATATTTGTAGCAGTGACTGTCAGCAAGAAGTTTGCCAGATTTCGAACAGAGGCGCAAATGGTACAGGAAAACAAAATCAAACAAAAACCTATTATGAACATGTCCGCACTGTATTGCCTTATGTCTGCCTGCTAAGACGCCATGACAAACCTCGAAAAAGTAAAGATCTATATTGGAAAGGCGGGGACATGAAATATGAATATGGTAGCGCTGCTGTGGTGAAATGATTTGATATGTCAAAAGCTGGCTAGAGGAGACAAGAAACCCCAGCTCGACAACTCTACGTGAGCTGTCTTCTCAGCTGTGGTTTGCCAACTATCCTGCCAGGTTTTTGTTTTGCGATCAGCCATTGGCCATAACCATTGTCTCAAAAAGAAGAACATACCGCCGCTCCGCAACCCTCCTAACAGGTCCACAGTCCTCCCAGGTGGTCTCCCATTGGGGTGCATAGACCCAGGCCTTGAGCAAGTGTTCAAGTGCTTGGCACTTGCGAACTTTGCAAGCTGTAAACATCTGTAAACACTGTAAACTGTAAACTGTAAACTGTAAACATGAACAAGGGGTGCACCGCATTTCTTCAATTGTGAAGACTTGTTCCTAGCTAGCAAACAGTTCGACTCCGCCAATCTGGCAACAAGCTGCTTGTCAGGATTGCTGTTTAAAGGGTGACAATAATGACAATACACCGAGAGTGGCTACACGAAGGCCACCAATTTAAACACTTGGACATGTGACCAAAGACATGTTGCCCTCTTGTGCCTCTTCTCATTTTTTATCGGACAAGACAAGACTGCCAGCGAATCAAATCTCCCACCCATCATACCTTGTTGCCATACACAACATCTCCGACGTCGAAACCACATTCCTTTAACCTGAGGTGTGTCCCATGCTTGGAGTCTGAATGCAACAATGAGCCGTACCAAATAATCCAAATACATATATGTATATATATATATGTGGAATTGTATAGGGAACACCACCTTGAACAAAGCCTGTTGCTGTTTTCAACCTTTCGCTGTGTGTCAGCGGACGTGGGCTCGAGAAGCCCTTCTTGTGTGGGGAAACACAAGCCTTGCGGCTGTGAAAAAGCTGCAACCTTCCGCTGCGCTCCGCAGGTGGTAACCGGAGCTTGGACATGGATCAGCCGGTGCCCCCGTCGTCACATGGCAGTGACGAGGCACCAAATGACGGTCATGCGACCGTGGGCCAAGGCAGGCCTGGACGCTCGAGACCGAGCACCGCCTCAAATGAGGCACATGAAGTCCATGGTGAGGACAATGATGATGATGGGTTTGACAGTGAAGAGTTTCGAGAATGGATGAGAAACAGGAGTCGAGCTGGAGGACGACGAACCCGAGATCGCCGTCGCGACAGCAGTGATGGCTCCCGAGACAGAGATGGAGATGGAAGCAGGACCAATGCAGGACCTGCACCGGAATGGGACGGCGAGGGCTTGTCGTTCCAGGACTACGCCATAAAGGCGAGGTTATGGCTGGCTACAACACGGTCAAAACCCCGCACGAGAGGGCCTCTCTTACTCCAACGACTAGCTAAGGTGCCCTTCGAGACGATGAAGTTCTTGGCCAAGGACCGCAGGTGGATGGCCAGTGAGACCAATGGTGAGGACCTCATAGACCTGATGGACCAGGCCGAGTACTTCGGTGACGACCGAGACGAGGACCTGCTAGGTGCCTTAGCAAAGATCACCTACCATGTGAGAAGGGAGAAGCAGGAGGCGCACAGGCAGTTCTTCAACAGATGGGAGACTGCCATGCGCAAAGTGGCCGAACACAAGGTCTTTTTGCCGGACAAGTACATCGGCTTCCTCTTGGTGAATGCCCTTAACCTGACCGAACCGGAGATCAAGTCGCTCCTCAACTATACCCGTGGCAGCATCATGCCACCTGATATCAAGGACTGGGTCAGGAAGCATGAAACCAAGTTACAAGTGGCACAGGTTGGCCTTGACCCCAAGAAGAACCAGGCCAGCTCGACGAAGGCGAGCGGCAATTTCTTCGTCGCCGAGGAAGAGAGCGAGAATGACGAGGAGGAGATTCATGCCATCGAGGCGGCGATCATGGAACTACAAGGTGGAGAACAACATGGCGATCAACCTGGTGGCACCGAGGATGAGGAGACGCAGATCCTGGAAGAGCACGAGGCAGCAGAGATCCTTAACACGATCCTGACGAAGAAGCGCAGCTTCGTCCAAACCCAGAAGGCAAAGAAGAGCAAGGAACTTGGCAGAGGATACAAGTCTGGCAACTTTCCGAACAAGGGCAAAGGCAAGAACACCTATACCGTCAACAACACCGGCAAGCCTCCTTGGAAAGCAGGTCAGTATAAGATGACCATAGAAGAAATCAAAAAGATCACTCGCTGTGGGAATTGTCTCCGCACTGGACATTGGCACCGCGAGTGCCCAGAGCCTCCCCGAGAACGCGACCAACATCTTTTGGAAACCGAAGAAGCTGTTTTCTGCGGTCTTTTAGACCATGAGACCACCGGAGAAGCCATGAGTGCCGTAGCCAGCTTAGATTCCCCACCAGTGGGAAGTTTTGTGGTAGCCGAACCTGAGCCCAATTCCAACGTAGCTGAGTGCCAGCCCACGTCCCCGTATAAGGACCGAACTACTGGGAATGAGGACTGGGAGATTCTTTTTGGGGAAGGGTTGTCTAATACCAAGTTGGTTTCTACTAACCCTTCGGAAGAAGCATGTGCAACAGTTGACACTGGATGTCAAAGAATGGCCATAGGGTATGAGACTCTTCGGCGACTCTCCCCACATCTTCCAGAAGAACTAGGTGTACAACTTCAACCCCAAGAGCATCGGTTCCGTTCTGTTCATGGAAGATCATCTACAACTCATGTAGCAGCAGTACCAACAGGACTGGGTAAGAAGGGAAGCATTTTAAAACCTGCGGTGTTTGAAAATGAAGAGAGTAAACATGCCCCTTTTCTTATCTCGTTACCCTTTTTGATGTTTTGTCGTGCCGTTTTGTACTTGGACCCCCAAAATGGTTTGAAAATTCATTTCAAGAAATTCAATTTTTCTGTGAACTGTCACCTAGGTCCCACTGGTGCATTGCGTATTCCGTTGTGCAATTTTTCACATGAACAAATCAAACACCTGAAACAAACTCAAGAAACTCTCAACAATGTTGGAACTGAGTTCGAAGTTTTCAGAACTGAACCTGAGGTACCGAATATTGCCGCCAAGTCTGGCCCAGGAAAAAGCCCGACCGTTCCAGGTTTAACCTTCGGTGCTGTCAACCATGATGGAGACCGAGAGGAAACGCAACCGCACCCAGGACAACAGCTTCAAGATCCTGTCAGCGTGGCACATGCTTCTGGTGAGGGTGATGAGCATCATGCAGAGTGTCAGCGCGCTGGCCTTACGACTTCTACGTCCTCAACCAGATCACCTGAACCAGAGCACTTCGTCCGGGAAACCGAGAACTACCAGAGTGGCGCCGACAGAGGGCAGCTTCGAACTGATCCCACCGTCATCGCCAGCCAAGAGCCAGAGGTCTCAGGCAAGTTCCTATATGGGGAAGGAGCTCATCACGGATGCGATCCTTCGGATGGTGGGGCCACCAGTTCAGTGCGAGCATGGGGAGACCACACGCCTCTTCATATGCCAGAAGCAGGGTCCCAACTACCACAAGCTGTTTTGGCGCTGCCCACGTCCCCGCGATCAGCAGTGCCGAACCTTTATGTGGACTCTGATCCAGCCCTACCTCAACACGAACCTCATCGAGGCATCCGAGGAGGAGATGGACACCGAGACGGTGATATCAACTACAACCCGGAGGAGCACTACGTCACGGAAGAGCTCTACGGCATCCCAACTCCTACAGCAGGCACAACAGCACTGCAAGCACGAGAAGGTGTTGAAGTCGGGCTCCAATCACTTCAAGATCCAAGAGAAGTGTGCCATTTGCGGCAAGATCACCAAGGAGGAGCTCACCGAAGCCGGCATCCAGAAGGAGAAGGAACGCGAGAAGAACCGCAAGAAGAAGCTGGAGCCGACCGAGCCCACCTACGAGGAGTTCTTGGAGTGGAAGAGGTCCCAGGCACTGGAACCGGCAGGAGTCTGGACAGGATCCCGAGTCAACCGCTGAGTGACCCAACTAGCATGAATGCTGAGGGGGCTGTCGACCTGAAAAGTAGGGGTGTGAAACAACTGCTTCGGAAAGCCGGGGCTGCTTTGACACAGACCGAAGTCATGTGGAAGGAGATTATAACCCTTCTTGGCGAAGGTCCCGACCGGACCACTCAGCAAGTGTTTGAACAGTACGCTGTTGAAATTTTTGATCCAACTGATCCAACCAGGATCAAGGATAAGAAACCTCTCCGCCGACTTGCGGGACTGATGGGCGTGACAAATAAACAAGCCCGAGTGATTGCCGAAGTGTTCAATCCCAAACGGTTTGGTCCCCAGGCAACAGGTGTAGGTCTTACTCAAGGCATGGCTTTTGATCTGACCTTAGGACATGATCTCCTGAAAGCAAAGAACAGGCAAGAGGTCCGAAGGTATGTTCAGAGTGTGAAACCGGGTTGCATGCTTGTGTCATCACCTTGCACCATGTTCAGCATTCTTCAAAACCTCAATCAGAAGTACCGGGAAGACCCCCAAAAGGATAGGGAATTTCTCAAAAGGCTTGTTGAGGCAAAGGTCTTGCTGAATTTCGCATGTGAAGTCTGTCAACTTGTTAGGGCTTACGGGGGAACGTTTGTTTTTGAGCAACCACTCACTTCCAAAGCATGGTCAGAGCCACGGGTCCAGCTGCTTGCACAGTCACATGACACACTCATGGTACGGAATGATCAATGCATGTTCAACTTGAAGGCTCCTGAAGGTGAAAGGTACAAGAAGCCGACCGGTTGGTTGACCAATAACAGAACTGTTGCCGAAAGGCTCTCAAGGGTCTGTAGCAAGGATCACGTTCACCGACCAGTGTTTGGCAATGGTCCTGGTGGCTCTAGGGCAAAGCAGGCTCAGGAATACCCAGTCGAACTGGTACGAACCATCCTGCAGGCATATGCCGACACCATCGACCAGGAGCACAACGTGCGCCACCACATCCATGTTGTCACCTTGGATGGCCTGATGAACGAGATCTACCGCACTGAGAATGTCCTCCTCGAGTGCTTCAACTTGAAAGCTCATGAGTATATGGCCACAGACCACCCTGAGGAGAATGCCGACGCACAGCCCGAGAACGCCCTTGCCGAGGATGCAGTGATTGAGGAACCAGCAGAAGGACAAGCCGATCTGCCTGGACGACGCCTACCAAGAGAGCGAGGCCTGAACACCTTCCAATTAGTGCGGAGGGCACATTGTGGACTGGGTCACATCGGAAACGACAAGCTAGCAAGGATCTTGCAGAACGCAGGAGCCAAGAAGGAGGCCATTGAGTATGCCAAGAAGCTGACATGTGATGTTTGCCAGAAGCACAAAAGGATTGCCCCTGCCAGGGCTGCAGCACCACCACGAGACTTCACTCCAAACCAAGTAGTAGGGGTGGACACAGTACATCTACCAGGTCTGAAAGCAGGAGGCAAACTGAAGATGGCCCTCAACATAGTGGACTGGTCCACCAGGTTTCAACTGGTGATACCACTGGAAGACCACACACCACGGTCAGCCTCACGTGCTCTATTTCAGTGGATCCGTATCTTTGGACCTCCCGAACGAATATACAGTGACTTGGGCAAGGAGTTCCGTGGATGCTTCCAGAACATGATGGACCAGCAATCCATTGTCTTGGACCCCGGGGCCTTAGAAACACCAACCCAGAGGTCCATTACTGAGAGGGCCGGCAAGTCCTTTAAGGAGGTGCTTTCAAAGACACTTATGGAAGTGACCTGTACTACCTGGGAAGAATGGCATGAGGCAGTTGACGTGACCACGGCCACTATCAACCGGCTGGCCAACAAATCAGGATTCAGTCCGGTACAGAGAATGCTGGGGTACAGCCCTCGAATTCCTGGAACTAACCTGAGCGGCGGCTTCAATGACCACGCCACCGCTTCAAGGTATCAGGCTGGTGATCTCCAAGTACAACGTTCTGCAGACCTACGACAAGCCGCAGCCATTGCCTACCACAAGGCGGACTGCGACCAGGCACTACGGAATGCACTACATGCTGGCCACCGGAAATGGCACCACTACGAGGTAGGTCAAACGGTGTACTATTGGAAAAAGGGCATGCAGGGAGCCAAGAAAGACAACCCGTCATTCTGGCATGGACCGGCAAAGGTCATCCTGACCAACCTGCCCAACACTGTATGGGTATCCCATCGCAGCCACATCGTGAAAGCAAGTCCTGAACATCTACGACCAGCAGTGGACGAGGAGAAGTTTGTCATCACCGACTGGATTCAGGACCTCGTGGAGACCAAGAAGAAGCTTCAGGAGAAGGACTTCAAGGGCTACATCGTCCTCGATGAGAAACCCCCTGAGTATGACCAGGCCATTGAGGATGACGAGGAGATCCCACCACAGAAACCGAAGTTTAGGTTGACAGGAAAGCATGCGGCGGCCGAGGTGGAATTTCAACCAGATATCTATGACGAGAAGCGGCAGAAGCTGAATCCACAGGAACCGGCAAGAAGCACTTTGGTGGAACCGCCACTGACTGAAGCCATCCCCGAGGACATCCAGCCTAATGAGGGCATCTTTGATGATCCTGAAGAACAGCCAGAGATTGACTCTCCAGAGATGGTGCCCACTACACCGCTACCGGATGAGACGGAAGATGAAAGAGCTGACAACGATGCACTACCTCCTGCTGAAGAACATCATCGTGGACAAGTACGACATGCCGATCATCCAGAAGAAGGAGAACCTCCCGCTAAACGGCACCGAATGGAGCTTTTGGAGACCCTCTACAACGAGCTGGAGAAGATCACGATGACCAGGAACAGGAAGGAAGTATCTTACGGTCGACTACAACTGAACAACAAGAAGAAGTTCGACCGAGCTATTTCCAAGGAGATCCAAAACAACCTGACGTCAGGAGCCTATGAGGTCTTAAACCGAGAAGAATCTGAAAGGATTAGAAGGGAAAAGGGGGACCTGATCATGAAAAGCAGGTACGTCCTCACTGAGAAGGCCGTTGAACCTCACGAAATAGAAGTCCTAAAGAAGGAGGGCTTGCTACTAGATGACGAAACCGGCGAACTGCTGAAGGCCAAAGCCCGTCATGTCATGAAGGGATACTCGGAGGCTAACGCCGAGAACTTAGAGTCAACAACGCCACAGGTGGCCAAGGACACCGTGATGTTCACGCTTCAGATGCTGGCCAGTCATCAATGGAAGATTGGTCACCTCGACTTCACCCAGGCCTTCCATTCAGGAGACCAGATCCAGAGAGAGCTGTACTGCTCCCTTCCTCCGGAAGGCATCCCTGGCCTTCACCCACGGCAACTACTCCGACTTCGGAAGACATGCTATGGATTAACAGATGGTCCATATGCATGGTACCAACACCTCTCCCGGGTGCTGGAAAGCAGGGGATACCAGAGAAGCCGGGCAGATCCGTGCCTGTTTCAGCTGTTCGACCAAGACAAACAGAAGCTCATCGGGATCATCGCCTTGGCCACGGATGACATGCTACATGGCGGAGAAGAGGCTCACTGGGAACATATGGAATGGCTCCGCTCCCAATACAAGATGGGCAAATATACCACTGGAAACGGAAAGTTCACTGGAAAGACCATTGAACAACAACCCAGTGGTGCCATCCTCTTACACCAGAGAACCTACATCGAGGAGAAGGTCAACCTGATCCCCATGAAACGAGAACGAAAACGACAAAGGTATTCGACATGTTCAGCCAACGAGGTGAACCAACTCCGAACTCTACTTGGAGCTCTGGCATGGGTTGCCAAAGAAACCAGGCCAGACGTGGCCGGCCGAGTGGCACTGCTCCAACAGTCGATGCCACTTCCAATGGTCAAAGATATCATTGAGGCCAATGCCGTGGCTGAGGAGCTGAAGAAGGACCCTGGCCTGGGGATTTTGATACAACCGATTCCTATGGAGCGACTTCGAGTTGGAGTCGTCACCGATGCCAGCTGGGGAAATGCCGGAGGCAACTACATGGAAGAGAACAACAAGGACTACTGGGAAGAGACGGAATTCAGCTGGATACGACATCACCTTCTGCCGAGAAGATTGCTCTTCCATCCTGGTGCTGCACCTCATGGACCTGATCTACACAAGATCTCGAGGACAAGATCCACGACCTGTAACAACGAGGAGATGACGGACAATTGGGATGACAAGGAGGCCATCAGGGAGAAGCACAACGAACCATGGACAGGAACCACCACGTTTCTGAAGACCGAGATCGAAGAGGAGACCCGGAAACCCATCAACGAGCGTTTCCTTCAACTTGCCAGGAAGCATAGCCAAGGTGGCTACCTCTTGATCTACTACGACGACAAGTTGGAGACCACGGACGACATGGCCAACATCACAATTGCAAGCTGGAAAAGCTACAAGTTGAAGAGGTGTACCGTTAACACCTTATCAGCAGAATGCCAATCGATGCTGCAGGGGATTGGCAACCTTCACTGGCATCGATTCCTCTTGGCAGAGGTTTTAGCCAAGGACCTTTCACTGGAGAACTGGGAGCAACAACTTGGTAAGCTGCCATTCATTGCTGTGACAGATTCCCGGTCGCTCTACGACACAATCACGAAATGCAGGAACACGTCGGCGCACATCGACGACAAGAGGACGGCCATTGACCTGACCATCCTGAAAGGCGACCTTGAGACCACTGGCGGCCGGGTCCGTTGGGTAGGTGGATCTAACATGGTATCTGACTCTCTTACCAAAAGGATGGCCCCCAAGTTCCTCAGCAGAATTATGCACCTTGGAAAATGGTCCTTAACGGAGACGGGCTACAAACGACTAGTTGAAATACATGCTTTGTTCAACACAAGTTGTGGTGCATGTGGATTTGTATAGGGAACACCACCTTGAACAAAGCCTGTTGCTGTTTTCAACCTTTCGCTGTGTGTCAGCGGACGTGGGCTCGAGAAGCCCTTCTTGTGTGGGGAAACACAAGCCTTGCGGCTGTGAAAAAGCTGCAACCTTCCGCTGCGCTCCGCATATATATATATATATATATATTTGTATGGGCTATGCATGGTCATCCCAGCATCGGGGCCTGATAATTGAATATAATTGATAGATCTGATAGATGATTCCCCATTCTCGAATGGTGCGGTCCGGACCACAGCCACAGCACATATGGGATCTGGAGATGAAAAAACAAAGACCCAACATGGTAAAGCAACACAATGACAAACGAGGCAATTCTTCAAGAATCCCCATGAAACCAGTCTGGATTTGGGGCCTTTCATTGGCAATTCCCAGCAACTGACTTTGACGGTTCTGAAAGAATGTGGTTCCTGCTTTCAGTTCCTGCTGTCAGCTTCCATCGCCATGCTTACACTCTCAGATACCAAAACTTGCATAAGACATCGCTACACCATGCTTCCACCATGTTCACCCAAAAATCGCATCACCCATCCCAGGAAGGGCTGTAACTTTCTCCAGGTGAGCTTTGACCGACTTCGACGACCTGCAGGATCTAAAGTAACTTGTCCATGTCTGAAGCCCTGTCCCATCCTGTAGATAGGCTGTCGGCAAGATCTACCAAAGTGTAGGAAGGGATATACCACAATAATGTCCATAATGTAGCCATGAAACTTGTAGGATTTCCAATATTCCATTGGCTGATCATTAGTGTTGAATCCACCTTGAATACCAAGATCTGTGAAGAAGTACTGGTTGCGGTAGGACACAACATACAAATAATCAAATGTCAGCCCCACTCCATGAACCATCGACCATTCACCAAATTCATTCCATAAAAGTTGAGAAGACGTTGTCTCACACATCTTCGACATTGCTGCATGGTGATTGTTGAAAGTCTTGGATAACAACGGACATGCTTCAGACTTGATGACATGGATGACCCCCCTGCAGTCAGGGTCAACATCGTCAGTTTGCCTTTCGTTTTCACGCGCAATCGGGGACACCTGAAATGAACAAATTCTCAATAAATGGTCAATAAATGACAAATAAACGGTCAACAAAACGGTCACCAAAGGGAAATGATCAATAAATGGTCAATAAAATGATCACTAATGTTCATAGCAACATGATGTGAAATTCAACAAATGAAGCCGGGTCCCCAATTTGGGTTCTCATTCCCAACATTCGCTCTGCGAATGCAGCTTTGGAGGGGAGCTGAGCTGAGGTGTTTCTACAAATGTTTGAGGGTAAACAAGGCTGAAAGGATGTTCTCTCTGCTTTCACTTTCCACCTCAACCATCCTCAACCATCCTCAGCCTTTCAAATTCATTCAGTTTTCTGTCGCAAACCCTTCTTGGGCTCACCACACATCCTTAGGGTCTCCGGTCCGTTTCGCCGCGCCAATCAGCAGCTGCAGCTGCCCATCCCCCTCCCAGGCCACGTCCGGGTGCCGCGCCACAAGCCGCAACGGCACCCCGTGGCCGCCGGCCACGGCCCCCTCCTCCGCACGGTCCGTGGCGGGGGCCCCGGCAACCGGTGCCCAGCTGATGGGGGGCGGAATGGCGAAGGCGTCCGGGTCCAGGGAGGAGGGAAGGGCCGACAGAAGCAAATAGGCAGCCTGGAGACAAAGTTTCGGATTGCGAATGGAAGTTTTGGGGGAAAATTTGGAATGTTCACTTTGGGATGCTGCAAACTGCTATTTTTGACCTGGCAAACTTCAGTTGACTGTCGGACGCCTCTTCCAAGGAATCCTCAGATGCCTCGCCAGCGGCTACTCGATTCGCCAAATATTCTGCCTGTGGTGAGCAATGACTTTCACAGATCCAGAGATATCTGCTAAGTCATCCTCCAGCCATTTTCCATTGGAAAAGGTAGGACTTCGGTGTATCTTCTGCATGTCACCTGATGATTTAACCATAAGTTCTTGAAGGTTCCCTATTCTTTCAAACAAACAAAATTGATGCTTCAAAGAAGTCAGAGGTTCGATTCTGATCATGGACGTGTCATCAACACCAAGGAATGTGGGTTGAGGTTTATTTTTCCGAACCTCTGCAGTTGGGCATGGTTGGGCATGGTTTAGATAGGATATGATAGGATTACTTTGCTACCCCAATGACATGCTTCATGCTACAAATGCCCATATCATCCATGGCTTCGAAGCATGGATCCTCCCCACTTTTTCACCTCTTCGGAGTCCAAAAGGCAGTCCGAATCCAAGGCCTCAGCAGGCTCAGCAGCTCCCTGAAACTCCACCCATCAATCGGGCGCAAAAAAATGACCATCTTGGGGCAGTTTTTGAAGTATACCCTCCGGTAAATCAACATCGCCCGTGAAAATGACCGGTTTTTACTGGAAACTCATCTTCCAAACCCCTATTTGGCAGGATCTATGTTAATTTACTGGAGGGTGCCCAAAAAGAAATGGATTTATGGAATTGCCACATTGTTGTTGGATTGGAACCGTTGATCGTCAACAGAATGACATGTTCATCTTGGCGACAGCATCAAGCAAAATGTGCTTGCCCTATACAATATTATATACATATATATATATATACATATAATTACATAATATATATATATATTACTTCTAGTTGTTTTCCGTAAGATTATAACTTTCACACAAACCCCAAATAGCATAATTGGTATTTGATTCTACATATATACATTCTATCCCGGTCGATATTCTTTTAAACAAACATCTCCTTCAAAAAAAGTGCATTATCAATCAGGTTTTATCAAGCATCCCATGTGGTTTTATCCTGCTTTATCCCGTCAAACCTTCAACAAACATCCTACCCTCTGGTAAACTGTCAAAATTAACAGTTTAACTCTGAAAAACAGCCATTTTTCGTGGGTTTTCCCTCATCTTCCAACCCCCTGGCAGGGTTTCTTTCCCTTGACGAGTCATGCCCAAGGTACGCTGGACCTATTGCTGGAACCTCGGGCGTCTCCTGTGCCTGGGCGAATTCAACGAAGAATCCATGGGAATATCATGGGAATATTTCACATGGGATGAATTGATGAATATTATATGAATATTTTGATGGATATTATCAATCCCATGAATATTCCCATGAATAACTATCAAATGGTCATTTGATTATATAAATAGTTCATTGATGGGAATAATTATATAATTAACATGAACTATTTAACTTTAACATTAACATGGGAATATACCATGGGATTAAAATTACAAATATGGGAATAGGTCATCCCATGGGAATCGATTCTTTTTGCCCGTCCCAAGGACTGGGTTTATGCAGTTTACCCATCTTTTGACCAGGCCACTATTGGAGATGGGTCAACTTTAGATGCGAAAAAATGGCATTTGGTTGGTGCTAAAAATGATCAAGTTTTCTGCTAAAAGTCCCCTGTGCCTTAGATTTTGGCCTATACCGATACCCCATATGCCAAATCTGGCATGCGTCATCCAAAGATTCGCTCCAAAATGATGATCACCGAAGAACATCATTTGGAAAACGAGGATGAATGAACTAACTTGAAGCCTCAGAAACACTAACATAACTATGGAAAATCACCATTTTTAATGGGTAAATCCAAGAGATCCACTATAAATCAACCATTGAACAAACCTCCTCTCGACATGTCTGAAAACATGTCCATCGCGTCGGATGTCGCCTGGTGAAGGCTGTGCGGGACTGTCTGCACCAAGGAGCTCCTTCAGATATTCTCCAAAGTTTTTTTTTTTCGAATTTGAAGGAAGATTCACAAGATCAACCATTTTATACCATCAAAAACCATGTCATCCCAGTTTATCCATTTTAAGGTTGGATAGCTCGGCGCTCCTCCTGAGTGTAGATGGGACCTCAGTGCTGCTGTATATACCCCCAGCGAAAAAAAAAAACACAACGTCAATGTAGCCTCTGGTTATTTAACATAGCCATGGTATAGATGGCCCATAGAAATAGATGGTTTACCTCTTAAAAATGGGTGGATTTTCCATGGCAAACTGTTAGTCATAACCAGATGGTAACTCTCGAAATCCCAGATATTTTCTCAAGAAATATCATCAAACGTCTGAAGTCTACGTCACTCTCTCCAAGTCCCCAAGAAAAAGGTGAAGATCAATCCCTTTGGTATCTGTCTCCTTTTTCCTCTTGGTTGTTTCAATGGTGGCACCCCTCTATGGTGAGAAAATGCTGGGCCCCGGGCTGGCTGGAGCCTGTTGCGCTGGAGCGCCAGTCCTGGTCGAAGGTTCTGACCGAACTGTCGTTTTTTGGAGGATCTGGAGGATCCCGAAAATGGTGGACCCAAGAATGATCCACTTTACAATATTGGATTTGTCATGTTTTCATGGGCAAACCAATGGTTTTTGGAGAAACACGTAGATTATAGAAAGAATCTTCCATCTTCAACTGTCAACCAGTAGTTCTTACTAAGTATCCATTTTGAAAATCAAAATTGGCAATGAAAAATCAATGAAAGAGACCCAACCGAAGGGAGTTCGGTTGGTGTCATGGCTTCCCAGTGCAGGTCCAACCCTTGGAGGGATCGCGGGGTCTTCATTCCCTCAAGGCTAAGTCGAATCAACAGTTGCAAGTCAGGGATACGAATTATGACCTAAGTCCATCAGACATCTCTGAAAAAATGTGTGATAATGATTTCACCAAAACCATGGTAACCATGGGTAACCATGATCATGTCATTGAGTGGGCTTTCTCTGAAAAAATGTGTGAAAATACCCGGCAAAATCCATCCCTCTCCTCTCAGAAGCCAAGGTGAATCGACCCGATTCCAGCTGGGCGAGCAGCGGCGATGTCATCGCCTACGTCATGGGTTTCCATAAACGGTACCCCAATAGTTGGATGGTGATAAAAGTGGAAAATCCGATTAAATAAAATGGATGATGATTTAGGGATAGCCCTATTTCAGGAAACCTCCATGTCATTACATGTTGTTTCCACTTTTTAGGCATCCTTTTTGCCGAAACATGCCGAAACATGCCGAAACATGAGAAAAGAAATGGTGTGTTTGATCTGAAACCGATCATTATTCAGTAATAGTGGATTATAAAATTGATAACACCCTAATGTAATAGTGGATTATAAAAACATCCTTATTCAAACATGTTTTGGTTCTTGTGTTTTGGTTCTCTCCGCTTCAGCATCAGCACCAAAACCTGCCTCTTAGCCCGCTGCGTTCGTCAGAGATTTCATGAGGTTAAACCCATCATGAGAGCTCAGTTGCTGCGGAGAAACACCGAGGAATCCAATTTAAAAAGCCATGAAGCAACGGTCCTAAAAAAGGTTCTTTATCAATCCCTCAAAAAAATAGATGTGTTTTATATACATATATAATTTTTATGAGCTTTTAGTCTTTTGATGTCTTTTGGGGACGGGTTTGATTTGTTTATCCTTTTTGGGGTGCGATGAACATGGCCTTAAAGGCAGTTCTTTAATGAAAGCTTTGACACCGGTCCTTGAATTTCCACTGTTTGCATCATGTCGGAGGTTGATCATGACCAAACAAAAATCCATCTCCGACCAGTCCCACCCATCCAAACATTATCTGTACTGAAACCCATGGAAAACCCAAAAAATCATCACCCCAAGCATCATCCCGCATCCCATCCCCAGCTCCTGTCCATCATCACGTTGCAGTTCCGTCCTCAAGATGGGCATCCCCCCGTTGTCCGGTGGCGTCCAGGTCAGGTTGATCACCGCTGGGGAGGCTGAGGTGGCCGTCGCCAGGGGCGGGTCCGGCTGGTCCGGCGGCGCGGCTGCGGTCAGCGGGCCGAAGATGGAGCCGCTGCGACAGCCGCGTTTGTTGCAGGCCGCCATGAAGAAGTTGTAGCGCCGGCCGGTGACCAAACCACTGTACTTGTACTCGTTGCCTGTGCAAGTCGAAGTTACTGTGTTTTTTGGGGGGATGAAAAGGGATGGATGAGCTGTGGAAGTACTGTTCTTGAGGACTTGTTATAAGTATGGATATAAGTTAAGGTATAGTTTTTGGATGTTTTTGGGGGAACACTCTGTGTTTTATGACTTGATCAGTAAAAAAGGGGCCTGGAAAAAAGCTGGACCCCAAAAAAGAACAGAAAAATGCTGATCGAAGATCAAAAAAAGTGGTCAAACTGACTTGCAGTCAATAGATACAAGTTGATGCAACAACTTTGAAACCCTGCCTGTCACTGACAGCTCCGTATCTGGTTCAAAATAGTTGGTGGGAAGCACATCCACACGCACAAAGTCTCCACCAAGGCCATCATCTCTGTAGGGTTCATAGCTGGTGATGGGACTGCCCCCATCATTTCCCGGTGCATCCCAACGGAAGGTGACCGCAGTACGCGTCTGGCTACCGGAGACCTTGGCCAAGACCACCAGGTCGGGCACATCGGTGATGGTGTAGAGGGCCACCCCACTCCTCTCCCCCGGGAGGGTGCATTCGGCATCGTTCACGCAGAGACCCTGACCATCATAGGCATGAAGCGAAGTGCCCGTGCCGGTGGGACAGTCCGCATGGGCCTGGATCTGGATCTGATAATCCAAGCCGCTAATCAAGTTGGGCACGGCAAATTCGGTCCTGGACATATCGCAAACCAAGACCTGGGTGCTCAACAGGCCATTCACGGTACCATCATTGTGATAGATGGCATAGCGCACGATGGGCGAGCCTCCATCAGACGGTGGTGGATCCAACCTTAACGTGACACCCACAATCCACTGGAAAGGAAGGATTTTGGAAATGCCCAACATCCATCTTTTTTCAAGAAATATCCCCATGTTCTGCCAAGTGGTTGATGGCTGCATTCCCATTTTTGTTGGTGATATGGCTGCAAAAAGGATACAGAAATTAAAACCACGAGCTGTTTTCACGTTCAAACAAAATCCAATAGCATCCAATCTCCCTTCCAAAAGGGAGAAGTTCAATGTCACCAAAACTAGGATATCATACCCAAAAAAATATCTAGTCAGATGAGCTTTGAAATCCTCAAACCGACACTTCCCAAATCCCATCAAACATCTTCTCAAAATACCAGAACACTTTTTCACCACAATGTTTTTCACCAGCATAAAACTCCCATCGAAAAATCCCATCGACCCATCCAAATCCCATGGAAAAATCCTATGGAAAATCATAAAAAAAACAGGAAAATCCCATCCAAATCCCTATGGAAACTCCCAGGCACCCAATGGTAATGGACCCAAAGGAGGCCGTCACGAAGCGCGGCTGCAGCGGCGCCGCAGGCGGCTCCGCGGCCAGGAAGGTGAAGACGCTGGTTTGGGCGCCTTCGCCCACGGAGCTCACGCTGCTCACCTGAGAGAAGGTTGCTGAGATTTGCTGAGGGTGTATAGATGTAAGGCGATATTATATATGTCATATATATATATATATAAACATGTATGTGTATATACTGTATATATAATATGTGATATTTAATGATATTTATATATTATCTAATATGCTTAGTTCTAGTTCTTAAATCCGTTAAGCTTGGAACATGAAGGGCTGGGTTGTGTGGAGACAATTGGACGCTTTACTCATCCAAAATGGGATAGAATAGGGAGCTTGGCCAACAAACCATACACTTGACCAACCAAAGATTCAAAGTTTCCTCCCTTTTCATCAGTTGAACCAATTTGGAAGACTAGTAGATAGATGAATGGTATCCATGGAATGCACAAAAACATTGAGGCCCTGACTTTTGAAGGGTGCGGATATAGGAACTTTGATGGTTTCAGCGATGAACAACATGAATAGTAGTGGTGTTTTTTTTGGAAAAAAAGGAAAAGATGCTGACAAATGATATGCATTGGACCCAGAATTCCCTCGCTTCTGTCACAAACAAAAGTTATGAATAAATCCATTGTCAATATGTGAAGATTTCTGTAGTGCTTCCGAACAGAAGGAAAAGAAAAGAAACAAAACAAAAACCTAGAACAAAAATGAACAGTGTTTTAAAGAAAGAACTTCCCTCACTTCCAATCATCTCCATATTTTTGTTCCCCAAGTGTTCCCCACCTGATACCAGTAGCGCCGTCCCGGCGTGAGCCCCGTGTGTTTGAAGCTCCGCACGGAGGGGCTTCCAGATCCATCAAAGACCAAGGAGAGCGAGTCATCGATCCCGGTATTGGCGTAGACCCGGTAACCGATCACCATGGCGCCACCTCACCAGAAGTGATCAATGTGGCCCCTGGGGACTGGGGACCCCACGAATTTTAGGTGAAAATGAAGAAACATTTAAGGAGTTCATGGAAGATTGTTTCAATATCTTTCATGTATTGGAAATACCAACATCACCAACTATATTAGGGGATCACCAACTATTTGGACTTGATTCCCAATAGTTGATGTGTTTTTTCGAAAAATCACCAACTATATTAGGGGATATATATGATATATATGTTATGTGGATAATTTCTAGGGGATCATTTCTATGGGCCGCAGCCCCACCTGTATCGCTTTCGGAGGTCACCGGCGTCCACATGACCTCGATGGCCGTTTTGCTGCTCGGCGGATCGTCCCGGGTCACCGAGGCCGGCGGCACGGGGAGGTTGGCGGCGGTGGCCACCAGGTACGGCGAGACGTCGGCGAAGTTGTCGTCCTCCACGCCGTTGATGGCCAGCACCCGGTACTTGCACTTGCGCTCGAAACAGAGAAAGGCCGTGTCATCCATGCCTGGTTCAGAAAAAAGCCGGAAAAAATATCTACATACAATATATCATATATATAATACATAGATATTATTGAGCTATCTGGCTATTTATGTGTATGATAGTCATTGGGGATCTCATCATAGCATTTCTATGGTTGAAATTAATGTTGAAACTATGGTTGAAAAAAATCTATGACACCCAGTTTCAAACATCAACCAAGGTGCAGGAATGCTGATTCTCCGGCAAGGTGGTTAAATAGCTATTGTCCGCTTGAAGACACTGAACGGTGCCGAAGAAGTAGTTGTCGTGATTGGCGCGCTGCACCTTGTAACCCGAGATTGGCATCCCACCGTTGTTGCTGGGAGCCATCCATTGAATCTCCTTGGTGCAGGTGGTCGTTGAGGGGTCAAAAAAAACACCAAATGATGATCTGTTGGCATCTTCTAAAGAGTTGTTGATCCAAGTTAGGCATCCATTAAAGGTTGGAACATGGCCAGCATAATTCTTGAGCACCTCTTTGATCAGACCATGAAGGTTTCCCTCAAAATTGCCATGTCCGCTCCAAGGTTCCACAACCTGGAGAGTGGTGGACTTCAGAGTAGGCTGCGCTGGTGGATACGGTCGCCTGCAGGTAAGGGAAAAGGAGAGAATGGCAAGCCGTTGTTGGCAAAAAAGCACACACCTATGTTTTTATGTTCAAATCCTCTATCATGCTATCTCCAGTATTACTGGTTCGTCCTCTGAGACCAGCACCAAAAATCTCAAGCTTCAAGAGGGGCTGATCACTACAGTATTTCCCGAGTTTATGACCATCATTGGCCATTCGAAAATAGAAAAAAATATGTTGAAACGCCTTGGATTTGCAATGTGTGAATCCCCCATGGCTAAGTCCTCACATCAATGGCATCAATGGCAACAAAAACACCATGTTCATCACCTGATCATCCCTTGAATCCTGGGCAAAACCCCCAAATCTTGGGGAAACATCCCCCAGAGTCGACCTGGCACAGTACCGCGGCAGGGAGGCTGAATAGCCGGACTCCCCAGCGTCGCTCAGGGCGGTGGCACGGAAGTCGTGCATGTTGCCTCGGCTTTTTCCCAGCGATTTCGGATGATTTCGGGGATTTTGAGAGTGATTCAATGGGATAAATGGAGCTTTAGATAGTCAGATAGTCAGATGGGAGATACCATGGATTTTCCCACCAGTCCCAGTCTGGTAAACTGATAGTCAACTGGGCATACAATGAAGAAATCGTGGGACTTACGCCTGATAATGTATCAATCCATCACCGGTCGAGAGGCCAGTGGTGCAGCCCGCCAGGGTGAAGGTACGTACAGTGCTCACTCCAGCGCCATCGTACTTCAAGACATTGTCGGCCTCGGAACCCCATGGTGAAAATCCCAATTGCTGCGGCGAAAAAGAACACAGTCAAAAGTGTGTTCTGTCTTCAACCCCAACATTTTTCCGTTACACATCCAGCCACCCCATAAAAACACCCAGCCTCACCACCCTTTCCCCCCATCACCACCTTCCTCTAAGTCACATAGAGCCGGAAGCCGGTCACCGTCAGATCCGACAGGGGGATGTCCCAGGACACGGTGATGGTCGTCTCCGTGGAGGTCACGAAGCTCACCGTGGGTGCCGTGGGCACCGCGCTGGCAGGGATGGTGGCCTCCGGCGAGTACAAGGTGTCCCCAACGGTCACCAGGTTGAAGGCCGAGATCCGATAGATGTAGAAACTGTTCGCCGCGATGTTGGTGGTATCCACCTGGAAATGACAGAAATGACAGAAATGATCCACCTGATGAGTGAAGAGTCTGAAGAGTCTTGGTAGGGCCACTAGGGATGATTTCAACTGATGTTTTTGACTCAAGTGGCTGGAATATATTGTTCTTCAGAAACTGGGAGCCAAAGGTCTGGGATGCTTCAAGACTAAAATGACTAAAGTCATCAAAATCTGTGTTGGCCTTAGATGTCAAGCCATATCCACAGGATGGACAAAGGGCTGTGGTGATGACGAAGGCACGAAAAGAAGAGATAAAAAAAATGACAATGTATGCGCGTGTGTATACATATTACTGTATACATGCACACAATTTATAATGTTTGGGATATCTCGGTGATGCGTTCTTCATGCCCTCCTCCCCAAAAACGCACAAAAAGCACCGATGTTTGCACGTCGTTTTCGTGCCCAGCCACATATGTAGTGGAGGTGTAGGCACTCGCAGTAGTGGTCAACTGCACCCAAGCTGCCGTTGGGTCGTCCTTTCTTTCCACAATGTATCCCAAGATGGGTGACCCGCCATTGTAAGGTGCAGCCCATGACAGATGTACTGCGGTTGAGGAGGTGGATGCCCTAGCAGCAACTTAGAGGCTGAGAGGGCTGAGAGTCAATGTCGAATTCTATTGGAAACTTGCACAAAAACAACCATCTTAGTTGCAGTTCGGAACCATCATTCCAACTTTTTGTAACCCCAAAAAAGAAGCAGGGCAGCACAATCCAATTCTAAAATAGCAACTTGAACCCTTTCTATCTGGTGACTTAAGTTCCCATACTAAACTCCAACCACTCCTGCCATCAGATCATCCCACCATCCAACCATCCAACCATCCAACCATCCGACCCGCCTGTCCACCACCGGTCTCCCCGGTGCATCCGGCTTGGCGGCCGCCACGATGGAGAAGACGTTGGACTTGGCGCCGTCCCCGGTGGGGTTCACACTCTGCACCTGTGGGTCACCGTTTCCATAGGGGGAATCCCCAGCCCCCAGCCCCACATGAAACACTGCCATGGTGCCATGGTATGGGTCCAAATATGGGTCCAAATCCCCTACTAACCCGTGGTTTCTGGGGGTGTTTTGAGATTTATGGATATATGTGGATACACTGGAAATACTGGATATACTTAAAATTCACCAATATGGAAAATCGATTGGTGTAAAGGAGATGGAATGGGTGGTTGAACCAACCACTATCTGCGGGTATAGAATGGACGCCAACAAACATATGCAGTGGTACATCTGTTTGTCCAGAAATGCTGCATTCATTTTTGATTTTCGCCATCTTAATGTGGAGAAAGTGGGAATATGATATTAAATTACAAACATATATTAAACATTTACGTGTATATATTTTTATATACTAAATTAATCTAAATTCATTGAATTCGTGTGACAATTCCGCACAACCATAAAACGATATAAAACGTTCAAGGCTCCATCATTTCCCCACCTGAAAGCGGTAGGTATGCCCCGCCAGCAACGCTACGGAACCATCGGAGAAGACCGGCTGCCAGGAGTAGTAGAGGGTCGAGGCCTTGGTTCCGCCGTCCCAGATAAGGTTCGCGATGTTGCCACCATTGCCATCGTCCACCCAGACCTTGTAGCCACTCATCCCTGAAGCTCCGGTGAGTAAAGGCTTCTTCCAGGCCAGGTCAATACCTAAGCTGAAGGAAAATCTGAAGCCCCCCTGGTTCTGTTACTTGGATATATCCCATCCAAATCAGAAAAAAAACGGTGAAATACTGTCATTATCAGTCTCACATCCCAAAAAAAAACATCTCCCAACCCCCCAAAATCTGCCCCAAAAAAGCTCCAGCTGCGATAACTGGACTGGAAGGTGGCGACCACATCATACGGCTGCCCCGCCACATCTGAGGCTGTCAGGGTGATTCGTTCGCTTCGGGGCCCCTCCCCGGCCGCGTTCACCGCGGCCACGGCGAAACGGTAGGGGTTCCCGGGGGTCAAAAACTCAAAGAACTCGGTGGTGGTGGTGCCACTCGCCGTGTTTTTGGAGATTTCGGTGTAGCCATCATCCATGTAAAGTCTGTAATAGATCAAGGATGAGGAACCAATATCCTCAATGACTCAATGCCGGAATTGGCGTCAGATTGGGAGTTTGGGAGTTTGGTCAAGGTATCATTGGAAGTCCAACATCCAACGCATCATCCCAAGGCTTCCGTCAGTATCAATCATTGGATTTGAGCGGTACCCCAATCGCTATCAGGGGAAAACCCCCAAAAAAAATGCAAATGTAAACTCATACTTTCAAACTACTGTACTGATCCTTTTTTCACCTTTAGGTGATCAATTGAACGATTTGTCTGCATCTTTATCACTATCGGGGGTTGCTACATCTATAAATCTATCTCTTTGTTTAGATAAGCCCCAGTTCATCCATGTTTCATCCATCCAAACATCATGGCTCAGCCATACAAACCCCCCCAAAAAAAATGAACTATACATAATTATACAAACCACCCAAAAAAAGTAGAATGATGTAGAATGGAAATTGTTAATCCTTAATCATCCCTATCCCCTTTTTTTGCTTCCCCTTTAAAAACTTTGTTCCCCGAGTTTCCGTCACCGCATCCCACGCCAGGGAGATCTTCTCGTTGCTCTGGTCGCCCTCGCGGCGGAGGTTCACCGGCGGCGAGCCGGGCTTGCGGAACTCGCAGCAGACCACGGCCGTGACGTCGCTCAAGGGCGACTGGCCGATGCGACTCCAGTAGGAGGTTTGGAAGAGATACCTGGGAGAATGGGAGATGGGATGGGAGATGGGGTATGGCTTATGTATGGCTTATACATGGCTTATATATGGGTTATATGTGGGTTATATGAGCATTTATGGGATTTCAGGGTTGGGATGGGATGACATCCCGGGTGGTTTTGAAAATTATTGGATGCTTGATGGTGAACCAAAGGTTTTAACGTAGCGATGCAGCAAGATAGCAGTCTACAGCGGTCTACAGTCTTAGCGCAGCAAGAAACCCAAACTCAACAACCATATGAAGAGTTGTAGCTGATAGTAACTGTAGGGATAGCATCTCATCATCCCCCAACCTTCCCGCAAGCAGGGAAAACCTATCAAGTCACCAAGCCCCCCAACTCACCAACCGAGGTGCTGTCGTCCTTCCACCAATCCTCCAATGACCAGTTCCACCGTGGAGGTGCCATCCATGTCGCCTTCATAGCTGAAGCGCAGGACACCGCCCAGACCATCGTTGCGGTACAGGGTGTAGCCTCAGGCGCCAGACCAGCATGGCAAACTCTCATTGGAATGTTCCACGGCCAAACTTTGAATCTGAGTTGAAATCACTCAAAATTCGGAAATTCACCGAGTTCAAGTTTTTGGACATCACCAAAAACCATCACCAAAAACCATCGCCATCCAAGCCATCCATCCCCATCCAAGCTGCGGATCGTTGGCAACCAGCCAGAAGGTGCACCCGTCAGCGGCGTGAAGCGGAAGGTCATCGTCCCACTACCCGTGTTGATCAACAGTGCCGGGTCCGGCCTCGAGCCGGGGCCATTGATGTTGTCATCTTGGAAAAAAGAACCCAAAAAAGTGATCCAAATACTGTAGATTCTATATGACCAAATAGATCAATCAAATCAAATCAAATCAAATCAAACAGCAAATCAACTTTCTGTTTTTTTCTGTTGCTTGGTGAACATATGTAGAAACTGTCTAGTTATGGATCATCTCCATACCAAACATCACAAAAGAAACATGTATAGAATGGAGGTTTAGGGAAAAATATGGAAAAAACATCTATAATACCCTCTGGTAAACATACAAAAAACTATGGGTCAAATATGGTCAAATCACCATTCTTTTAATGGGTAAATCAACGAACTAAATGGCCATTGCTTCAATAGCAAACTGTTAGATCTGTTAGTTTACCAGACGGTACGAGTATATCAACTATGTGTTCCCATATTTCCCATGATATCATTATATCCAGTTATAATCCCCAAGTATAATATCATCCCATTATATCCAGTTATAATCCCATTATATCCATTTAGAATCCCCAGTCAAAATCTATATAACATGCCCACGTTTCCCGCCATCGCCGTCGCCGCCCAGGCGCTTCACTGGCGGCACCGATGGCTGCGCGGAGATCGTCACCGGCTCGCCATCGTCGCCGTTGGTGGCGAAGATTCTGCAGGCCACACATGGGTTTTACCCTCTGGTTTTGTCAAAATAGCTATTGACAATGGCCATTGAAATAGTGTATTTTCCCATTAAATCCATTAAACATGGTGATTTTCTATAGTTATGGTTATGACTTTCTTTCCAGCCACAGCCCTATACCCCCCAAAATGCATGTACCTATCTGAAATGTGCATGTTCAAAATGCAGGGTCTAAAATAAGCATGTGCAAAATGCAGAGTCAAAATGCATGTCTCTAAATATGCATGTCCAAAAACCATGTGCCAAATGCATGTGTTCAAATGCATGTGTTCCATAACTGTTATGGGACAGTTTACCAGAGGGTAACGTCAAAAACAATGATGGAATGTGCAACGAATGTGGGTTTTGTCTGATTTGTTGAATGGGGAAAACCCCAAAACCATCCAACATCCCATAGCTGAATTTTGGGGAAAAGCCACTTAAAATAGCCATCATTCACCATTTTCACAGACTTTCCCTATGAAAATTGCCAGTTGATCGTAATCCTGGAAAATGATGATGGGTTTCCAACATGGGGTCTGGCATGTTTTGTTGGCATGTTTGAAATAGGAAAGATGGAAAGTCATAGAAAATCTACTTGTGAAATGGTGAAATATAGGAAAGTCCCCCGTCAAATCTATAGATGTTAATCACACTTTTTCTTCCTTTTTTTCCCTGGATTTTCCCTGGATCTCCATCAGTGTTCATCCCATCCCCCACCTGTAGTAGTAGACATTTCCAGTGACCAACCCACTATCCGTGTAGGAGAAGGTGTTTTCATCCGTCAAGGCCAGCTGTGAATCGATGGCACCACCATTGCCGTCGTCCCGGTAGATGCGATACCCCACAATGGCCTTGGCGCTATTGTCCTGTGGAGGGATCCACGACCTGAGTGACTCGTGGCGGACCAAGGTGACCGGCCAGGTTTTCATGTGGAAAAAGGGAAGAAACCCACCATTTTATGGCATATGTGATGAATTTATGGGATATTTCCGTGGGATTTTGATGGACTATATAGAACCAACAATTGATTCTGGTACGTTTTCGTAGATGTACCTGTACCTCAAAAATTGTGAGTTTCCGCAATGGAAATTGTGAGTTTCAGCAGTGGAATTTGGGGGTATCCCATTTCGAGACAAGCCCATTTGTGTATAGAAAAAACATGCCAGGAACCCGAGGATCTTAAAGCATGACGGCTACTGGTGACCGGTGGTGACTGTGGATTGAAGTAACCAGCATAGGCGCATTATGGACCCACTGCCATGAACCCCAAATCATTGATGCTACCAAAGGCAGGGAACAGTTGATTCACATCGTACTGGAAGTCGTGATGGTAGAAGGCTTCCACTGGTCCTGCAATCTGGATCATGGATCATGTAGGGGTCTCAAGAAAGATAGAAAAGTTCATCTCCACTCCTTAGACGATGTCCCTTTCCTTCTGGTCGGGGATCCCTTTCGACGAACTTCTGACAAAACAGATTGGCTCAAGTCCCAAAATATCAATAGAATTCAATAGATTGTTTTAAGGAAAAAATCCCACAGGAAACCATGTTTTTTCCCAACGCTAGGGGGGTCCTGTAAATGTTCCCTTATGTTCCCTTAAAACCATCCCAGTTCCCCAAAAGCAGTCCTGGTTTATCGAAGACCAGCACGGTCTGTGGAAAGAGTCCCAGTAAGCTGCGGGAATGATACCAGGAGTCCTTTCCTATGACCTCTCGCACCAAACCTTGGAATTTGCAGCAGAAAATCAACCAACATTTCTTCCCCATGTCTGAAAGATCCATGAAAGCAAAACTATGAATTCACCAATGAAAGCTATTCCCTATATAGATTCCCCATGTCTGGAAATACTGTAACCCATGAAAAAAATAAATAAAATCTTTTAAAGTCACCTTCTGCAAATCTAAGAAACCCTGATCACTGGCCCATTCCAGGCGCATGCGCGCGAAACCCGTGCGTTCATAGTACATCACCTGCAAATGGTACAACCTCGATCCCGTCAACAGAATGGGCCGGGTCTCATACTGCCCTGCAGTTGCTTGGCTCAGGACCAACTCATCATCAATCCACAGATTGGCGCCATCATCACAAGTGATGTAAAAGGTGTAGTTCGCCGCCGTGGGCACCTGCAAATAGCCATCAAACTGCGCCGAGGCATAGTCCGAAGAGTCGGCCGTCACCAGTCCTTCGGCCCAGTTGAAGTCGATCGCTGTGTCGACCTGGCGAAAAGGTGGGGAAATCCAACAAAATTCAAAAGGAAAGGTTGTGGAAGAGTGACAAAGCAAGTTTTTCGCTGCAAGTTCTTAAAGAATCCAAAATGTGATGGACAATCCTAATAAGCCAACAAGACTGTTTGGGAATCTCACCCAACCTTGACCCCCAAATTCCAATCTCTTCACTTTTTGAATCAAAAGACAGCTTCCAATTTCCCCTACCTGTGAGATGGCTGGCACCCCTTCCACCCATCGATTGTTGAAGTACCGCGCGTTGATGCCCCCTTTGTTCAGCGCGTAGCAATTCACCTTGTGGACCCCCGTGGTGTCCAAACGCAGATTCACCCGGAAGAGACCGGGCGCGGTGCGGACCGTGTCCAGGGCCGGGCGGAAGGGGGTAGTCTTCTGCTCAGGGCCGTCGGCTTCGCAGAACATGAAGTTGTTGCCTCAAGGGAAGTTCGTTTCTGCTTGTGATCTCCCGGGTGAGTTCACAAAACCATGGCAATCACCATGTCCTAATAGGTTTCAAACAGCTATATCACAAATTCGAGGGTAAGGCAAATGAGGAGATCTTCCAGGTGACAAATTCTGGGTGGATAGGATGTTATATTCAAATATATATATATAATATATAATATATATATATATAAATGATTCTAAATATAAAAAAGGAATGAAATGGATATAACATGATATAACTTATGTAACTGAGATACAAAACCCCAAGAAGCAAATTGCTGCACAAAGTCCAATGTTTTCTGGAGAATTGAAGTGTGAAACGATGTTAAACTGCAGTCCGGGATGCCCTGGTCTGGCACGTCGTTCCCGAATTCGTCTCGGACCTTCATCCAGTGGCTTGGGTCAACATTGACATATAGATTATATATAGATTATATATAGATTATATATAGATTATATATAGATTATATATAGATTATATATATAGATATATATAGATTATATATAGATTATATATAGATTATATATAGATTATATATAGATTATATATAGATTATATATAGATTATATATAGATTATATATAGATTATATATAGATTATATATAGATTATATATAGATTATATATAGATTATATATGATCATATAGTCTAATGATTATATAGTCTAGTAACCATCTGTTGCGGTCTTGGTATCAACACTGACATGTAGTAGATCATAGTATATCTCTAACCATCCACTGTCAAAAACTCTGTTCATTACTTCATGATGTGCCATCATTACTATCTACATCTATCTACATCTATCTACTGTAGTAAGTGGTTTTCTATGTTTTGTTCTAACTCGCCCCGAATCGCCATCAGGGCGAAGCACTTCGCCCCGCATCCGGCCTGAAAGGTCACGCTGTTGTCCGTGCTGCGGCGGATCTCAGGGAAGAAGGTGGTGAAGGCATAGAGATAATTCACCTGAAGCAGATCTTAGTGACTTAGTGGATGGCTCCCAAGAACTGGAAATGATGGGAAAATGAGGCTTGAAACTGGAGCAAAGATGGGAAAATGGATGGAAAATGAGGCTTGAAACCTTGTGGGAATTGATGAAATTCATGTGCCCCCTTGGTTTTTTGGAAGTCAAAGCCATGTGTCATCCCAGTAGCAGATTACGGAAGTGGCTAAGGGGATGTTGAAGTCTCCAGTTGTTGGGGGAACCCATTGATCAGGCTGAAGATTCGAGTGTTCTTCGCTGGTTTCCCCACCATAAGCTGGGCGTCTTCCAACAGAACTTGGCGGAATGATACCCCAACTGTTTCAAAATCAGTTCAGCAGGTCTCCGAAACAATTCTCACAAGCACATCTGAATATCTTGAACAAAGACTATGGGAAGTCGGCAACCCCTCTTGAAACCATTTTTGAAGCCAACTATCCACATGGAAAAATCACTATCCCATGTGGTTTTTCTGAACATCGATCTTCAAATGCTGGGATGTTGAGGAAATTTCGCCTTTCGCCTTGGCACCTGGAACCCCAACCCCGGGCCCCGGGGGCCCAACGCCACTGGTGGAATCGATTGGCTTAGGATTGATCACCAGCCTTAGAATACTTGGACTCAGGGTCCCACCGGGTCCAAACCACCTTTCCAGACTCTGAGAATAACTGATCCCATCCCCATCAAAATTGACCCATGGCCTGGTTATCCTGGTCCCAAATATCTGTGGAACTCATTTTCTAATGGCTTTCACCATGGTGAAACCCCATGGCTCGGCCATGGTTTTTTCTTGTCGTCTGCGCCCCCGGGCGCGAAGGTGTTGGGGGCCACGGGGTTCACCGATTGACCGTTCACCCGCAGGTTGACGTTCAGGGTTTGCGCCTCGCAGGAAAATCCAGTGGTTGGAATTCGGCATGGCGGCATGGGTCAGACACGGCACAGTACGAACTCGCACCCAAAGGTTCAGATGTTACAAAACAAGCATAACTTTGGGGGAGTACATCCAAACTTCGAAATCAGGATGAATATCCCATTCATATCCCATTGATACCCATTAAATCCCATCATAATATTTCATAGTTGCAGTTCCATTTAATCCTATCCAAGATCTCCGTTCGCGCCTGCGTGATCAAATACGAACATCTGTACACACCCAGGCCCTGATCCATGCAGCTCATTCGAGCATCATCAATGGTGACCTCAAGGGCGGTCGTTTTTGTGGTGCTTTCATAGGGAAATGCTGAGGAAATCTATGGTGAATTGATGTTAATTTCATGACCCAAAAAAAACTGGGAAAAACTCTGGATGTTTCTGCATCCTAAAAAGGGTCTCCATAAATTCCATGGGCCGAAGGGATGGGGAAGCTTGAGTTTGGTGAGTCTTCTCCTGTTCAATGGGAGGTTCAATGTGCCCATCTGAAGTGACAAATCGAAGTTGTGTAAAGCACTTGAGAGCGGGACAGGTTCACCGATGGAAACACCCCTGCGCACGGCATGCCATAGCATGAAGCATTTTGTTGGGGGAAGGTCATCCATAAATTGGCTCATGTGGTAAACTCCAAACCATCAACCATACATGTTTCAATATGTTTCATAGATTCTTCATAGATTCTTCATACCAATTTTGCAGCTATTTTTTGCCAAAAAAGAAGCACACCACATCCAACTTAGCCCCGCATCCCAAGATGTGGATGTCATAGTGGACCGCCTGTGGTTCAGCTGTGCGTCCCGCAGGGTCACAAAGAAGACGCCCTGCGGTTGGCGATTTATTAGGCACTTTGAGAATCCAAAATTGGAGGTTTCACAAATCAAAATTGGAGGCTTTACAAACAGAATCTGGAGGCCTGACTAACACAAATTAGAGTTGTAAGTTAAAAAATTTAGAAAATGAATGTTTCACCATTAAAAAAAAATGGAGGTTTTTGCAACCAAAATTATCAAAATTGGGGATATAGGGATGGGTCGAGCCGCCTGTGATTTTCACATGCGGCTAGGGGGGTGGGGGCGGGTGAGCATCCACTTGTATACCCAGGCGCTAGGATTTTGACCTATCCACAAAATCATTCAACAAACACCAACTATCCAAGGCTCGAAAGAGAATCCACGACAAGGACAGTAAGGATAACACGTGGATCACATCCATCCCCCATCGGTGGTGAAACCAAGGGCCCCTTTTTTCGCGCCTCAACGCCAGCTTCGGCATATTGGAGGCCAGTGCCCGTGATCAAACTATCCACCTCAGGTCGCTGGGTTGGTGGCGGATTCGGTGGTTGATTCGCCATGATCCACCTGAGGCTGCCTGAGGCTCTAACCGCACTGGTGGGCCCAGGCAAGACGGTGGTGGTAAATGGCGAGTCAACAATGTCAGCACCTGGGTTTCCACCCAAATGCTAAGGTTTAAGCAACTGGGCAAACAAACACAGTAGTGTTATGGCAATCGGATTTTTCTGCACATCATCCTGTACATCCCCCTGCTCAGCAGGGATCCTGGTGGAAAGTCTTTGTTCCCAACTGGAAATTTGTCGAAACCCGGTTGGAACCGGCAGCTTGAGGGAGAACCCAGTGAATGGTCTACCTGGTTTCTGGTTTCATCATTTTTGTTTCAAAATTTTTCGTCAAAAAAACACCATTCTACATATCTACAGTTTTTATGTCCACATCCTTTTCTTGATAACTTCATTTTGTCCTACATTCCTACCAAAAAATATCATTTAAACTCCATTCCAAACGTTACTTCCTCAGCTGTTTGGTTTCATATGGATGATTTGGTATTGAAGATCACCGGCCATTTGCGGGTCCATCATTGGGACCCCGGAAGTGACAAAACCTTTCGTCATTCCATCATATCGTTTGGTCACATAATGGCGTATGATCATCTCCAACATATACAAGAAGGCGATTCCCAGAATGGTTTATGATCATTTCCCATTTTTGATAGTTATACATATATATATATATTTGTTTATTCATTTATGTATATACATTTATATTATATAAATATAGGGCAGGCGAAAAACCTTTATGATCATTAACCAACAGGGATCAACAGCGGCGCAAGGACTCAGCTTTGGAGTTCCCCTTCCACCTTCACCTCACCACGGCTGGAGGAACGCACCAGCACCGGCCGGGCGGAGGCGGGGCCGCTGAAGGCGTTCAGGAGCTCCGAATCCAAATCGTTCCTTGGGAAAGGCGGTCCCATGGGAATCTATGTATGTTAGATTATAATGAATATATTCTATATGAATATAGTGAAATATTAGGCCACATGTTTTACATTATATGTATACATAACATATTATGTATATATATGTGGCATAATATACATATGATCATATGACATAAATCAATGTACATTAACCAATGGAAGTTGGGTGGGAAGCAAAGCAGAACTGGAATAGCAATAAGAATACATGCACAACAAAACTAGTGACCTTGGGAAGCGGTGACTGAGGGACGCGGCGACTTGACTTAGGGGAGTGATGACTGAGGGAAGTGGTGACTTAGGGAAGGGGTGACTTAGGCAAGTGGTGAACAAGGGAAGTGGTGCAAAACGCATTGTAATGGATGTTGCATGGGACTGGCATGGGGTCTGTGCGTGTGTGCGGGTGCTTGCGCGCGTGTGTCAAACCCACTAATGAGTTTCCAAATTGAAGCCAGTGATCAATTTTACACGTTTAGCAGAGGGGCTGGTGGTCCGTGCAAGTACCAGCCCAACGAAAAGGATTGCATGCGACACTGATACCATTGGAAACGTCCAGTGACGTATCTGCAGTTGCAAGTAAAGCTATATCATTCTCTGCCAGCCTGCTGCATCAGGATGGTCACTTAGGAACCTGCAAGGTGATAACAACCTCATCACTCTAAAGTTCCAACCTGAGAGGGAGGGAACGAAAGCCAGCGAGGGTTGAATGTGCGGAGCCCCTTTTTTCTAGCTCTCGAGGGAAGAGGCGGCTTTAACCGCGTCTGCTCCACACATTCCACCACCATCACATCTCCTCTAGCCAACACACCCCGTTAAGTGCTTTAATCCAAAACAAGTTTCAACCAAATCCAAGAAGACCTTTTATAAAATCCACACAAAGTTCACTTCTCTGCCTCTAGCTTCCAGACAGCAGGTCTGCTCCATACATCACATTGCTTCACCCCTCACAGCTCCTCTACCCAACACACCTCCTCAAGCGCTTTATCCATCACAAGCTTCGCCCAAATCCAACAATACCCAAGGATAAGATCCATCAAAAGCTCGGGCATCTTCAATGCGAAGCAAACCGGACCATATCAGCCGTTTTCAGCGCCAAGCACACAGGACCATATCAGCTTCATCTAGTGGCAAAACTAGCTTTGCATGTAGCAGACGAATTTAGCGAATCCTTTGGTTCCTTCTCTGCCTGTAGCTTCCAGAAAGCGCGTCTGCTCCAGACATGACATTACTCCAACCCCCCCAACTCCAACAAGACCCAAGCACAACAGACCAAATCAGCTGCTAGGTTTCATCTAACCAACTAGCATGCCATTAGGATTCATCAGAGCAAGTCCTCAGTCCTTTGGTTCCTCCTCTGCCTGTAGCTGCCAGAGAGCACATCTGGTCCATACATGACACTACTCCACCCCCGTCACCACTGCCAAGCCGAACGGACCATATCAGCTGTTGGGGCTCATCTAGTGGCAAAACCAGCTCGCATGTAGCACACGACTCGAGCAAGTCCTTTGGTTCAATGTTAGTTTGTGGTGTAGCCATCTTCAGGGCCAAGCCCAGCCGCTGAGGTTCAGAGCGAGTCCTTTGGTTCCTTCTTTGCCTGAAAGCACGTCTTCGTCAATGCGCAGCCCACCGGACCATATCAACCGTTGAGGTTCAGCCTGAGTTCATCCAGTAGCAAAGTCCTGATTGCCCCGCCCAAAAAAAAAAGTGGACAGGTGACGAGGGGGGAGCGGACCAGCCCACAGTTTGCGAGCCGAAGCCTTACCGACACTCACTTGAATTTCCACGTTTTCTCCAGCAATAGGGGCAACTGCCCCCCAAACCCCCTGATACTCACTACGCTCGTAACCAACAACTAGGTAACTAGGCCTTGCCTGTCCGGCTGGCTTTCGAAATTCAGAGTAAGCACTTTTACTCTCACAGTCTCAATCTGTACTCTTTTTTGGAGCCGGCCTGAATTTGGTACTGCAATACCTCGAATTGTGATGGGCTTTGGTGCTGCGGGAACTGGCTTGAGGCCGAAATACAGGAATCACAAACAAATGGAGAAAGTCACACGACGAACACGTCACAAGACAGACAATTCCCCTCATCTCTGGGTGCGACCCAGGATACTTGGGTATAGCTGGGTGCACCTTCCCTCTTGTTCCCCGGGCGGGCACACTTCTCCTTCCCCTTTCTCCCCATACCCTATCTCTCCCCTCGCCGCAGCCTCAGGAATGGGTTTGTCCCTTCCCTTTGCTGTCCTGCTTGAGTTGTCGAAGTTTCCCAGCTTTTTGATTCTTGTCGTGACGCAGTGCGACAAGGAAAAAAAAGGCGCATCTATCAAACTTCTGAAGTTAAGATAAGGGCTTGTGCGTGTGTGAAACCCGCTATCTAATCGTTATTCGGGTAAAAGTTTCTAAATTGAAGGCAGCGATCAAGTTTACATATTGAGCAGGGAGGCTGGCTGCCCATGCCAGTACCAGCCCAACGAAGAGGCTTGCATGTGACACTGATATCACTCCAAGTGTTTTGTGCAAGCTTTGTTGTACGAAGTAGTACTGGGAAGTATTTTGTGAAATTCCTGTAGACAAAGTAGTACAAGGAAGTGTTTTGTGCAAGCTTTGTGGTTCAAAGTAGTACTGGGGGAAAGAGCTGGAGATCAAACTGCCATTATGAATATGAGTACATACTTTGATTACACTGGGAAGTCGTTTGTGCAAGCTTTGCTGTACGAAGTAGTACTGGTAAGCATTTTGCGCAAGCTTGTGGTGCAAAATAGTACTGGGACGTACTACGTGCATGTCTTGAAATACGAAAAAGTACTGGGAAGTACTCTGTGCATGTCTTGAAGTATGAAGAAGTACTGGGAAGTACTTTGTGTAAGTCTAGAAAGTAGTACTGGCAAGTGCTTTGCGCAACGCCTGTGATACAAAGTCATACTGGCAAGTACATTGCGCATTCTGCTGCCAAATAAAGAAAGGGAGGATGTATTTTGGGTGTGTTCGGGCAATGTAGCTAGCTAGGATGTCGACGCATATGTATACTGCTGCAACGGCCTTAGATGGAAAATGGTTAGCCCGGTTGAAACTCTTTTTTTCCGGGTGCCTCCAGCTCTCCTGCGAGCTGTGCAGCTGCTGGACCTTCTGTGCTCGCGCCCTGGTGGCGATACCAAACAAAGGAACGGAGGATGCTTTTTGGCGTGTTCGGGAAGTGTAGCTGGTCATTCTGTGCGTAAAAGGGGCTCTGTGCAAAAAGCTCCTCTTTGAAAAAGCTTCTGTCTGCAAAAGCTTCTCTGTGCAAAAGGTTCCCATGTGTAAAACCGTTCTGCGTGTAAGGCTTTTCTGTGTAAACACATCTGTGTCTAAAAGCTTCTCTGTGCAAAAGCGTTCTGCGTGCAACGGTTTTTGTGTAGAAGAGCTTCTCTGACAGCTAAAGCTTTCTGACGTACAGAAGGGCTCTGGGTTCATCAAAGCTTGGGTGAGATGAGAAGGGTTGAGCAGTGCCCCGATGGGATGAAAATAGTTGAGAAGCATTTGGATGACTTCTGAGAAGAGATGAGATGAGAAGAGCTGAGATGAAGTGAGATGAGGTGAGAAGAGCTAAGATGAGATGAGATGAAGTGTGGAGTGTGAAGTGCGAAGTGTGAAGTGTGGAGTGTGAAGAGTGCAGTGTGAAGGGTGAAGTTTGCTCTGTGGAGTACGAAGTGTCGCTTGGCGTTGCATTGAAACGTGGTCGTGCGCAGGTCCTGTTCTTCGACAACGACAATGCAACAGGTTCGCACAAAGCACGCACGCACGGGCCCGGCTGGCGCACGGTGCATGCAAGTTCTAAAGATGAAAAAGGTCTTTTAGTACAACATACATAGATACATAGATACATAGATACATAGATACATAGATAGAAATAGATAGAAATAGATAGAAATAGATAGAAATAGATAGATAGATAGATAGAAATAGATAGAAATAGATAGAAATAGATAGAAATAGATAGAAATAGATAGAAATAGATAGAAATAGATAGAAATAGATAGAAATAGATAGAAATAGATAATGTAGAAATAGATAGAAATAGATAGAAATAGATAGAAATAGATAGAAATAGATAGAAATAGATAGAAATAGATAGAAATAGATAGAAATAGATAGAAATAGATAGAAATAGATAGAAATAGATAGAAATGGATA